AAAAAAAAAAAGTGAAATAGATATTTTTTTAAAAGCCACAAACTTTTATTGAGCAGCCTTTTAAAAAATGTAGAAGGAGAACTGGCATTGTAAAAGTTCTCTTCCTCTGGATTTTAATATATTATGATGTATAAATGATTACAATGTTTTTTTTTCTTTTTAATGATACAGTGATAAATATGCATATCTATTTGGGAAAGACAAGTCTAATACTGTCAATATAAGATTATGTTTGCACATTTTCCTTTGGTGTTTTGCTTTAATTCCCTCTCCCTTGTTTAATGTGAAAAACAAAAAAAGATTATTTAGAGGTTTCTGTGTAATGAAACAATTACATAGTCATCCAAACAATTTATTCCCTTCTTATGCCTATTGTACCTCTTGAACAGAAACTTAACACCACAGAAAATCAGGTAACCAGAGCCTCTGATCTCATCCCTTAGCTGGATGGCTCAAATTTCGAACTGATCTGCTATCATTCATGTATGGATAAAAATGAAAGATATTGATAAAGAAAGAAAGCTCACTTTTCTTTCTCCAGGCTCCTCCAGCTGCATTATTTAATGTATCATCAGCTGGTTTTTGTTTTTTGAAGATATGTGTGCCTGTGTGGCTGAGAGAGTTTTGGCCTCCATCTGACCACCATATTTATTATCTGAGCAATGCCTTATTGAGTTGAAGGTGAGATAATGCTAAATTAGGAATTCTGAAATATTTGTACTGGGAAATGCATCAGGAGAGAACAGGTTTTAAATCCTCACTTCCAGATGCTGCTTCATTACTCCTAAAATGCATGGCTTCATACAGCAGCTTACCACCCTCCTGGCTACCCTATAGTGTCTGAGACTCCTTGGAGCACTGTATTGGGAGAGGGCTGTAGCAGTCACCCACACAGGCAACCAGCTGGGCACCACATGTGGAGTCAATCTGAATATTCCTGCAGAGTGTATAAGGTGGCCAGTCAATGGCTGGACAGCCAAAGAGTGAGAGGGGGTGTTGCTGATGCTAAAAGCATGTGTCGGAGGAGGATACAGTGTGGGTGGCACTGATGGGGGAACAGTGGGTCCCTTGCTGATCTCAAGCAGTAGCCCTCCTCCTGTGTCAATCAGATACTGGATCTTCTCAGACTGTCACTGCAGAGCTGCAATTGCAACTGCCTTGGATAAATGAATGGGACTTCTTCTGTTGCTTAATTGCAGCGGACACGGAGGAAGCTTTCATTGGGTTCAAGGGTGTGTGGAACTTCCCTGTTCAAGATCAGCCCTCTGACAAAAATCACTTTCCTTCCCCTTTTAGTCTCAAATCAAAATACATTCAGACTGGCAACAAGCTAGTCTGTCAGTTTTCTCTGGGCCTCAGGAGGGATCACTTTGAAGCAACTTCATTGATATGGAGAGAAATCAAAATAGAGATTGCTAGACAATTCTTAAAGAGTTAAAAAGCAAGCAAGTGTTGCTGGGTTTCTATATTAATGCTGTGCCAGTGTCCATTATTGTCAGCCCTTCAAGGTACATTGAACTAGGAAACCAATGTCATGTAGGTTAGTACTACTTTTATTGTAAAGCTATAGTAACGGAATCCTGCAAGTCTGCATGTGCTTCCCCCTCCCTCCCTCCCTCCCTCCCTCCATCTTTGTGTGAATTAGGGAGGGGCTTGTCTAAGACATTTACTCACATTACTTTCTTGGTCCTGGGCTCAGGGCCCTTTTATCTGATGGTTACCTTCATAGTGGCTCTTCTTGCTCTCCTTCAAGCCATTCCCTCTTCCCTCTACAATTATGTTCAGAGTACCTTTTCTCAGACCAGCTGGAAGGGAAATTAAGCAGACTATGGAACTTAACAGTGGGTTGTACCCATCCTAGGTACACCTGCTGACAACAGGAGCAAAGCTTTTTGCAACCATTTTAAGACAAGTAATATTGCACAAAACCAAGTTCCTCAGAGATCATATGATTTCGTAATTAACTCCTGTTAGTAATAAGTTTCAAACCCCCCTTCCTACTGTTTTCCTTTTCACAGTTTGATCAGTTAAAAACTACTGACTTTGTCTGGAGGTATACAACCTTGCAGTCATTTTAGTTGGACTATTTCCCACAAGTGCAATAAAATTGTCCTTAATGCTACTTAGAAGCCTGTTAATCAGATTAGAAGAAGGGTTGCAATAGTTGTATTAAATGATTATCCGATCAAAGTCTAATCTCCTTATTTAAGAGAAAAGGGCTTGTTGGAAAAGCTACTTTGAAATATAAGTCCCAAACAGTAGCAATTGTTAACTGTCAGCTATTGCTGTATACTGCTGGACTGTTAGCTAATTAAAATTTTTCTACAGAAAAGTTGTTTCACCCTTGCCTTGACCTACCTCATATGACTGCAGAAGTTGCATAGTATTAGTATGAAGTGCTTGATTATCAACTCTTCTCACTCAGCCTCTTGAGTGAGCAAATGGTACAACTGGAACAGTCTTAACATTTCAACCTTGTAGTCCACAACTATAATGGCCATCAGGAAAATAGGCCCCCTTAAAAAAGCACAGGGGAGCTCTCAACTCAACTGCTGTTCTGATTTGGGTTAGCACTTCCTGCTCACCTGACCTCAATTTGCTTTCAATTCAGTGGCTGCCTAATAGCCACTCAGGGCTCAACCTTCACTGGTAGACCACCTTTTGCTTCCTGCAAGAGGGTCACTTTAAATGATCTGAAAAAACAAGGCAAGAAAAAAACATCGTTTCGCATCTTAGGATCTTTCCCCACCTGCACCTACCCAGGTGAAAACATACCCTGGAAACACTTTTCTACTGCCATATCCTGCAATGCTGCATTTTTCTCATTCTCAGTCATGGGTGAGACAGGCTGAAGTTACCCCTTAGCTCTACTGATAGTAAAGTAAGTTACTCCTTAGCTCTACTGACAGTACAGTATTCTTCCCCTTATTCCAACCCTTTCCAGGGGTAGCTTCAATGTAGATAAAAACTGCTAGGCTCTGTCTTTTTTTTTTCTTTTTTTTTACTTTGAAGGTAGTAAAGTGATACCTACGGCGGCTTTTAACAGAGGCAGTAAAGGCAGCGGGGGGAGGTGTTTAAAAAAAGTCAAGATGGTGACCATAACCATGCGTTCAATGCCCTGGACCTTTTTTACATGCATCAAAATGGGACTTTGATCACATGCTTGTGGCCACCATTTTCACTTTTTTAACCCCCCTGTAGAAACCTATAAGAGGAAGGATAGAGATTAAGGATGGGGAGAAACTTTTCAGGCCAGTATAGTTTTCTGACAATTCAAGGATGGATTTTTTAAAATAATAATCCAAAAAGTAGGATAGTACAAATGCAAATGAGTAGCAATAAATAATAAAAAATATATCTAGTTGTGAGCAGTTCAGCCAGTCTTATTAGAATTTAATTTTGATGTGTGCTTCACACATTAGATGGCGCTATTTGTCTATTTCTACTAAACCAGAAAAAAGGAAACAATTGGGTAAACTATTAGCCACACGATTTAAAACTAACTCAAATCTGTACCGTGTTTAAATATGTTAGTATCAGCACACATCAGCAAGATGTATACACTGCTTAATTAATTGTAAGGAAATCACTTCTGCAAGATGCAGTAATGTATTTCTTACTAACACTTTAAGAAGACTCAGTAACAATCTATAACAAAAACATTTTTTAAAAACTGGCTGTCAAAACATTAAAACTGAAATAAAAGGCCAAATCAAGAAGAGATGTCTAATTATCTTTCCTAAAAATCAAGAAAGTTGTTGGTCAAGGCCAAAGGTGAACTGAGACAAATTCATGGAGCAGAAGACATATTTTTTAAAAAGCCATAGTCATAATGCATGTATGTAACCTTCTGATTCAGAGCTGATGAACACAACACTCATGCTTATCCAAGACATAAATGTCTTGTTGCACCATTCAAATAAGGTCTATGCTGAAATCTACCTTGCAGTTTCTCAAAAGTTTTCCCCCCTCTATTTTCCTACCTTATTTTCAGGATAGGCATAGGGTTCTCTTTTGAATTTGCCTAGCTATGTTTTTGAGCATCCTTCGCTTTGGAGGGGTGAGGAGTGCAACCCTGGTGTTGCTTTCTATTACACCTCTTGCCATCACTGAGATGACGCAGGAGCCATTTTGGGCACAGCAGCTCAAATATCAGTTTCTGCCTTGGTTTACTGTCCACTCATGTGTTTTGCTTGAAGGAGATTGCTTCAGTTTGACGTAAAGCATTGTCAAGAGCATGTAAAGGAGAAGCCATTCAGCCATCGAAGATCTGAATTAAGAGGGGCAGCCGAGGTTAACCGGAGAGGGCCAAACTTCTCAAACTACCTTTTCCATATTGATCAAGTACTTATGTAAAGTGTGCCTGATTTATTATAGATGAAGTAATGACCAAGAAAGCTCTGAAAAAAGCAACAACAGCTTTGGTATTCTGGTACCTTTTAAAGTCTCCTTTCAGTCAAGTCAACTTGTGGTGACTTAGGAACAACCCAGCTTGTTTTCTTGGCAACAGGACCAAAGTGGTTTGTCATTGCCTTGTCACAGGATAAGTAATTGCTCCTGACTTCCTAGTCTAGTCTATAGCCCTGGTTTTCCTGATAGTCCCTCATCCTAGTACTAACCAGCTCTGATCTGCTTGGTTCTAAGCCTAACCAAAGTCAGGTAAGTGCTGCTATCTTCTGAGTATCCAGCAGTTTTGGCCTAATGTAGTACTAAAAGATGATCTCCCTTTCCCATCTTGAGGGGACCTCTCTGTTATCTGAGGCTTTTAATCTCTCCTGTAATGTGAGCTGTTTTGAGATTCTTTTCTCTGGCATATGGCCTAAAGCAGTG